CCCCAGATCCGTACCCAGTCAAAGCCCCGACCTTAGTCCTCTAACAGGATGGAACCTAACAGGTTCCGCCCACAAGCGGGTACCCGCCCACAGCCCCGCCCCTAGGGCCGGTTTCAGTCCCTGGCTCTGACCCACACTGCGGTCCAGCCTTGTACTCACTACGCAAAGGAGAACGCCTCGTCCGAGGCTTGGGTGCAAGGCCGCAGTCGCCCGCCGCCTCAACCCTGCAGGGCTCCACTGTCCGCGGCGGCGAGATGCCGGAAACTGAAGCCCCTGCTCCAGCCCAAGACCGGAAGCGGAAGCGTCGATGGCACAGAGGAAGAAATAGCGGGGCGGCTCGCTGAACTGTGGGTACGGTTTTCTTCGCTGGGGGATTGGATTCACGTGGTACGTTCGGCATCATTATAAGAGGCAGGACTCTATGGGCTGCCGGCACTCCTGGCCTCCCGTAGGAGTCAGGAAGGGGCATGAGTCTGGGGCACCCTGGTCACGGGCTATAGAGTTCCTCCCCCTTTCCCGTGAGCCGCGTTTCCCCCCCTGGGGCCTCAGGCTGTTCCGGCAGGTCGGCGCATAGCCTCAGTTTCCTCCTAGCTCTGGGCACCACTGTCCCCTCAGAATTCCCCATCTCCCCACCATCTTTCCCCGGTGTGTTTTTTGAAACCTCCGAGGGGACATTTAGTCGTCTGGAGGCATTGTTTTGATTGTTACAAATGGGAGGGGCTGCTACTGGCTTCAAGTGGGTGGAAACCAGGGATGCTATTGGACATCCTACAGTGCACTAAATAGCCCCGTGACAAAGCATTATCAATAGTGCTGAGGTTTGGAAACCCTGTTCTAGGGTCTTAAAATCTGCAAAGCCCTGAATGAACTTAAAAGGTTAGCGGAGACACTTTTAGTGCCCTTGAGTGACGAGTCTTGTTAAATGTGTCTGGAATCAGAAAAAGACAGTCACTATCCAGTTAGAAGAATTGAGCAGAGCGAATGAATGCACACCGCGTGAAGCCCCTTCCTCCTACTCAGAGGGCAGATGGCTGGACAAGAATCAGGAAAATCTAGTCGTAACCTGTAATTACGTGTTAAAGCGGTGCAGTAAATATTAATACAAAGAAAAGTGAATGGTGTGGCCCTTTCATCCAGCGATTGTATTATGCCTCCCCAAAAATCTCAAAAGCAATCTTTGTATTCTTCCCCCCCGCCACCCCACAGACAAGTAAATTATATCTGGATTTCAAGTCTGAGTTGAAACCAGTCTTAAGGTTCACCTGTCCTCATTGACACGTGGATTTCCGTGTGACCAGGTGAGTACCATGTGGATCTTGTAGAAACAACTTCCAGCAGCCTCAGCTATGCAGAACTGCTAACAGGTCTTTCCTGTGCTCAGGCTGTAAACACAAGGAGTCACTGAAAGTGAAAATATCTTTAAGGAAAAAAAAAAGTATGTTTGATGGGGATTATATTCAAGGGAAAGATAGTAAGGAGTGTAGTGATGCATGTGTAAATAAGTAAATACAGTTATGTGCAAATAAATGCACATTAAACAAGCATGTTAATAACTATACATAAGTAACAATATATATTTACTTGCATTCCATAATACTGAAAATTTTAGGATTTTATGTATTTTAAGTATGTTTTGTATATTTGAGTATAAATATATACTTCTTTTATGTGTATCTGTAGTATTAAAAGTCATCCCACTAAAGACTAGCAGGACCACTTAGCAGCATTCCTCAGGCCTGGTTCAGTTTGACTTCTAAAACCCTATAAATCTTCCACAAAGATTCAAAATGGTGGATGGGGGAGAAAGTAATTTGTACTTCTTTATATTGGCAACAAATTCAAAATTGAATTAACCAGCAGCCAAATGTCTTTTGAGCAAGTGTTTGGTTTTATTTTGTGTTTTGTTTGTTTTGTTTTATCTTCTGAGATTTAAAAATCAGTTGGAGGAATACTGAGCAACAGCTTGTAGATGCAAGGGTAGGGCAGTAGTTTCTGCAGATTATACTGTACACCTTGCCTTCTAATAAGAATTAACTTTATTTCTTTAACTGTTTCTGAAATAACAGTCTGGTGATTTATATTGCAGAGAATCGTTTTGAGTAATAGTATATTGTTGGTTTTCACTAATTGTGTTTGCGTGTGTGCCTTTTTCATTCTGTCTTTTCTGTAACATTCTTAAGGAGAATGCTTGCTTGTCATGCAGTAGATATGCTTTGAGTGTACAATTTATGGTAACCAACTGTCCTCTTTTATTCGACTGAGGGGTTTGCTGGGCTTGCCAGGTGGCTCAGTGGTAAAGAATCTGCCAATGCAGGAGACCCAGGTTTGATCCCTGGGTTGGGAAGTTTGCCTAGAGAAAGAAATGGCAACTCACCCACTCCAGTATTATTACCTGGAAAATCCCATGGACAGAGGAACCTCACAGGCTACAGTCCATGGGGTTGCAAAGAGTTGGACATGACTGAGTGACTGAACCCTCATGCATGAGGGTTTTGCCAGGACACAGAATATTTTGGGTTCAAACTAGAATTAGGACTCTAGGCATGGATTGAGAGAATTAATATTGTTAAAATGTCCATAGTACTCAAGACAATATACAGATTCAGTGTAACCCCTATCAAAAATCCAGTGGTATTTCTTACAGAAATAGAACACCTAAAATTTGTATGAAAGTGCAAGAACAATGGCTTATAGTTTTCAGTATATAGGTCTTTCACACCCTTGGTTAAATTCCTAGGTATTTTATTCTTTTTGGTGCAATTGTATAATGGGATTGTTTTCTTAATTTATTTTTCTTATAGATCATTATTAGTGTAAGAAACAACAGATTTTGTGTGTATTGGTTTTGTACCCTGCAACTTTACTGAATTCAATTGTTACAAGTTTTTAAATGAAATCTTTACGGTTTTCTACATGTAAAATCATGCCATCTGCAAATAGTGGAAAGGTTTTACTTTTTTCTTTCTGATTTAGATGCCTTTTATTTCTTTTTCTTGCCTGATTGCTCTGGCTGAGACTTCCAGTACTATGTTGAATAAAAGTGGCAAGAGTGTGGGCATCCTTGCCTGTTCCTGATCCTAGAGGAAAAGCTTTCAGCTTTTCACATTGAGTATGATGTTAGTTGTGGGCTTATTGTACATGGCCTTCATTATCTTGAGGTATGTTTTCTCTGTACCTGCTTTGTGGAGCGTTTTTATCATAAATGGATGTTAAATTTTGTTGAATACTTTTTCTGCATCTGTTGAGACAATTATATGATTTTTTCCCCTTATTTTGTTTATGTGGTATACCACATTGATTGAATTGAACCACCCCGTTATCCCTGGAATAAATCCTACTTGATCATTGTGTGTGATCCATGGTGTATGATTTATTGTTGAATTTGGTTTGTTAATATTTTGTGGAGGATTTTTGCATCTGTTCATCAGGGCTGTTGACTTGCAATTTTCTTTTTTTGTGGCTTCCTTGTCTGGTTTTCAGTATCAGGGAAATACTTTCCCTGTGAACTGTGTTTGAAAGGATTCCCCCTCTTCTATTTTTGGGAAGAGTTTGAGAAGGCTTGGTGTTAGTTCTTCTTGGAATGTTTGGTAAAGTTAATCTGTGCAGCTGCTTGGTCCTGGGCTTTCATTCACTGCGAGGTTTTTGATTATGATTCAGTCTCCTTGCTAGTGATCAGTCTGTTCAGATTTTGTATGTCACTCAGAGAAATAGAAAATGTGAACTACTGATGTTGACAGGGTGGCTCAGTGGTATAAAATCCGACAGCCAATGCAGGAGACATGGGTTCAATCCCTGTGTCAGGAAGGTCCCCTGGAGAAGGAAATGGCAACTCACTGCAGTATTCTTGCCTGGGAAATCCCATGCACGGAGGAGCCTAGCAGACTACAGTCCATGGAGTTGCAAAGAGTTAGACATGAGTTAACAACTAAACAACAACAGTATTTCAAATAGATTCCTTGTAGTATGATTGACAGGAATATGATAAGCGTTTTGCATTTTACTTGAGGTTGACAGATTTCCTTCCCCAGGGGCTGTATTTGTACCCCAACAGTATATGAGTGCTCTTCTGTACTGCCTTGGCAGTGAAAGGTGTGGTCCCCGGTGTCTTTGCTGATCTGACAGATAAGAAATGGTATCATTTCAGTGCAATCTCTGTCTTTGTTCTGTAAATAAGATCAGTGGCAATTCTACCAATTGAATAGGTAGTGGTGGAAACTGAACAAAACTGTGTCTCAGAGTGGGTGGGACATGAGGAAATGAGATAGAGAGTGAAAAAAAAAGAACTTTGGCTGTGGTGAGGGAGAGAGACTGGGTGATAACTAGAAAAAAAACTGTGTGATTAGAATATAGTAGTGTCTCTCTACTGGAAACACTGCATTGAGTTTAAATGGTGCGAGGAAGTCCAGTAGAGTGGGAGAGCTTGAAAGGAAGGGCAAAGTAGAGATAATTGCAGGTGTCCAGCTCCTAAAAGGGATGGAGCACAGAAGAGAGCTGCACCACCCAGCATTGTAGAGAAGACAGGTCCTGATTTATAACCAGAGAGGGAGAAAACCATGGTGCAGAATACAGTTTTGGTGACAAGATGGGAAGGTAGATTCCTTCTCACGAAGATGACTAAGAAGTAGGATGCAGGACCATTTGCTGAAAGTGAAGATGTATTTGTTACCTATCTCTGCGTGACAGATCATCCCCAACCTTAGTAACTAAAACAGTAATCCTTTGCTGGGCTTCCTTGCTGGCTCAGTGGTTAAGAACGTGCATGCCAGGGCATTTTAAAGGTAGCAGTGTGTACAAACACATATTACATTTTGATGGAGGACGTGGTGGACAGTCTATGAAAGGCTCATCCTCAGTAGCCTGGAGAGAGAGACTGTGACAACTTCATATTTTCCCATTCATTCCAGAGCCCAGTCCTGAGTGCACTGTGGGGACAAAAGGAGGGGCATCCTGGTTCTCCAGCTCCCTGTTGCTGAGGAAAACGTCTCTGTCTGAATTGCAGGATGGCGACCATGGTCCTGTCCCCTACTTGTGGTGAGTTTGAGGGGCAGCCCTCAGAACTGACTAAGTGCTAGAGTCTCATGCACCACAGAGCCGGTGGAGGGAGGGGACTGAGCAGTTGAGGCGTGAGTGTTACTCCTGGAGCCCTAAGGTCACGGATGCCTGACTGTCTGCTTCTTGGGATTTGGGACTTAGCTGGTTTGTGAATCTGGGGAGACATCACCTGTGTTGCAAATGCGTGGGAGCTTTTGAATTATACTTCTGATTCTTTGTATACACTCGAGCAAGTAACAGTGGTATCCTTTGGCAGTTCAGTTTCTTCATCTGCAAAACAGTAATAGTCCTTTCTTCCTCCAGTGTGGTATAAGACCTTTGGCACTATTTTCTGACCCTGAATGAGACAGAGGTCCGTTCTGCCTCCGGGGGAAGCTGGGTGCGGGTGTTTGGGTGTCGGTATGTCCTTTCTATGTTGGGGATACAGTCAATTACAAGTAGGTGAGGAAGCCTAAGCCTCCAGGTTTGTGAGTGAGAACAGCGGGCAAGCCTGGGTTCTTGGGGTATTTCTTCTTCTCCAGCTCAGTCGTCCCTGTACACAGCCCCTCACCAGAAAGGATACACAGAGGAGGAAGGGTTGGCCAGTGGCTTCCTGACAGACTGGTTACAGGTGAGTCAGACATTCCTGTTTCCAGATTGTACTCCTTTGACCAGAAGTTGGACTTGTCCTTTCAATGACCTGGAGCTGGATCAGGTTTTCAGGCATCTGGTGGAGGGTTCGGGGCGACCCAAACAATGTCAGCACATGTCAGCATTTACTGCCATGTCGAGCTTCCTCCAAGGTCACTGTCTACACCATGTTTTGCTGAGAGTTTTGTTTTTTTAATTTTACTGAGGTGTTGGTGATTTACAATGTTAACTTCTGCCGTACAGCAGAGTGACTCAGTTATACACACACATATATTTTCTTTTTCATATTTTTTTCCGTTATGGTTTATCAAAGGACATTGAATATAGTTAACCTGTGCTATACAGTAGGACTTGTGGTTTATCCATCCTGTATATAATAGTTTGCCTCTGCTAATCCCAAACTCCCATTCCTTCCTTCCTTCCCCCTCCACCAGTCCCCTTTGGTGAGAGTTTTAAGGGGAAGCTAGGGAAACACATGACTGTGTCCTAAACTCAGGCAGTTGCTGGTGGCCACTGAGGCATCTTTCATCCATTTGCCAAGTACTTCTCTGATTTCTGCAGTGTCTTAGGCCTGTGCTCAGCCTTTGAGGTTGAGGGGAATTTGATTGCAGGATGTCACGGTCTCGCTGGAAAAGAAAACTGCCTGTGTGTTAGGGGCACATGTGGCCCTGGGGGCAGACATGAGCAGACAGGAGATGAGTGTCCAGGGCCGAGCCCAGGAGCAGTCGCGAGCAGAGCGCAGAACCCTGCCCCAAACAGCTTTGAGCTCTCTCTTCCTGTTCTTGTCGTCCTTGGCTTTTATTCTCTCAGCATCGCTGGGGGTAGTCCTTAGTTAAGCCACGGTGTTTATGGTGGTTTAGGACTTGGTGACTTTCAAGGACGTGACCGTGGAGTTCAACCAGGAGGAGTGGGCGCTGCTAGACTCTTCTCAGCAAAAGCTGTATAGAGATGTGATGCTGGAGAACTACGGGAACCTGGCGTCGCTTGGTAAGCCCTACATCGTCCCTGCATTTATTTAATGACTCAGATAATAAGGCTTTTTTAAAATTGAGGTATTTATCATTCTTATAAAATTCACCATTTTAATCATTAAAACTTTTTTAAATTTATTTTTTAAAAGTTTTTAATTGAAGGGTAATTGCTTGGCTTTTGATATAGTCAAAGTTGTGCAGCCATCAATACTAATTTCAGAGCATTCTCATCACTCTTAAAAGAAACCTGTACCCATTAAAGTGATCAGTACATGTTATCTTCCCCACCCCCACTGCCTGCAACTATTAATTTGCTTCCTGTTTCTGTGGATTGGCCTATTCAGAACATTTTCGTATCAGTGGAATCATGAAATATGTGATCTTTCTGTCCCATTTCTTTCCGGCAACTTAATGTTTAAAGGTTTAGCTCTACTGTAGCATTTATAGATTCTTTATTCTTTTTTATGACTGAATAATCCATTTTATGGATATACCACATTTTGTTTATTCATTCATTGGTTAATAAACATTTGGGTAGTTTCCACTTACTGGCTAGTTTAAATAATGCTGCTATGAATATTTGTGTCCAGGCCTTTGTTTAAACACCTATTTTTAGTTCCTTTTTGGTATATATCCAGGAGTGGAATTTTGGGTTTTATATTACTATGTTTAGTTTTCTGAGGAACCACCAACCTGTTTTTTACACCAGCTGCACCAGTATATGAGAGTTCCAATTTCTCTGTATCGTCCCCCAATATTTGCTTTTTTGAAAATAGCCATCATATTGGGTATAATGTGGTATCTCACCTGTTTTGATTTGAGTGCATGCTCTGTTGTCTGATTCTTTGTGATCCCATGAGCTGTAGCCTGCCAGGCTCCTCTGTCCATGGAATTTTGGCAAGAATACTGGAGTCCGTTGCCATTTCCTGTTCCATGTTTTGATTTGCATTTCCCTAATTACTAATGAAACGGAACATTTTTTCATGTAATTGTTGACTGTATGTCATTTTTGGAGAAATGTCTTTTCAAGCCATTTTTAAAATTTGATTGTTGATCTTTTTTGTTTTTGGGTTTTAGAAGTTTATTATATTCTGAATGCTAGACCCTATCTGCAAATGGTTTCTCCCATTGTGTGATATCTTTTCATTTTCTTGATAGTGTCCTTTGATACAGTAAGTTTTGATTTTGATGAAGTCCAGTTTATGTGCTTTTTTCTTTCCTTCCTTGTGCTTTTGGTATCATACCTAGTTATTGCCAAGTCCAATGTCCTGAAATTTTGTTTCTGGGTTTTTCTCCAAAACGTTCTAGTTTTACTTTTTCAATGAAATCTTTTACCTATTTGGAGTTAATTTTTATATGGCTTGGAGAAATTGTCAGCTTAATTCTTTTGTGTATATCAGTTCAGTTGTCTCAGCACCTTTGTAGCAGAGACTGTTCCTTTCCACACTGAACTGTTTTGGACCAGTTGCCAAAAGTTATTTGACCATAAGCATGTGAGCTTATGTACTCTCAGTTATTTTCCATTAACCTGTGGAAACCTGACATAACCTGATGGATCTGTCATTGTGCCAGTATCACATTGTCTTCATTACAGTTACTTTGAAGTAATGTCAGTAAATGGGATTCTTCCTACTTAGTTCTTTTTCAAGATTGCTTGTTGTCTATTCAGGATCCCTTGGCAATCCATATAAATTTTAGGATCAGCTTGTCCATTTATTTAAAAAAAAAAGTCCATTAGAAATTTGATGGTGATTTCATTGAATCTGTAGATGATTTTGGTTAGTATTCTCATCTTGGGTGTGTGCTCAGTCACTCAGTTGTGTCCAGCTCTTTGCGACCCTATGGACTGTAGCCTGCTAGGCTCCTCGGTCCATGGAATTTTCTAGGCCAATATGCTGGAGCAGGTTTCCATTTCCTACTCTAGGGGATATTCCCAGCCCAGGGATCGAACCCGCTTCTCTTACTTCTTCTGCAGTGGCAGGTGGGTTCTTGACCACTAGTGCCACCTGGGAAGCCCTAGTATTGTCCTCTTAATATTAAATTTTTGAATATATATCCTCTGTTACTTACTTTTAATTTGCTTTTGTCATGGTCCAGTAGATACTTGATATGATTTTATTGTTTTTAAATTTATATAGACTTGTTTTGTGACCTAACGTATGCTTTGTTACAGAGAATCTTTCACATGCACTTGAGATGAGTGTATATTCTGTTGTTGAATAAAGTGTTTTATGTCTGTGAGGTCTAGTAAGTTTATAGGATTGTTTAAGTCCTGTGTTTCCTTGTTGGTCTTTTAACGAGTTGTTCTACCCATTACCCATTATTAAAAGTGGGGCATTGAAGTCTGCAACTATTATTGTAGATCTATTTCTCCCTTCAATTCTGTGAGTTTTGAACTTATACATTTTAGACCTTAGTTGCTAGGTAGTATATGTCTGTAATTATCATATCTTCTTGATTAATTGATCTCTTAATCATGGTGTAATATCTTTTTTGTGTCTTGTAACAGTTTTTGTCTTAAAGTCTATTTTGCCTCATAGTAGTATAGCCACATTCTCTCTTTTTTATCTCTTGTTTGTATGGAGTTTGTTTTTCCATTTGCTGATTTTAAACCTGTTAGTGTCTTTAGATATAAAGTGAGTCTCTTATAGATCACATATCATTGATTATTTCCTATCCGTTCTGCTAAAATCTGCCTTTTAATTGTGACAGGTTAATCCATTTACTTTTAATGGAATTCCTTATAAGAAGGACTTAGTTGTGTCATTCTGTTTTTTTCTGTATGCTCTATATAATTTTTCTTCCTCCATTATTGTTTAATTTTGTATTAGATATTTTCTAGTGGACCATTTTGATTCCCTTTTCATCTCTATTTCTGTTTTTTAGTTATTTTCTTAGTGGTTGTGGGAGGGATTACAGTTTTAATTTTAGAGTCTGTTCTGATTTAATATCAACTTTATTTCAGTATACAAAAGATTAACTCCTGTGTAGCTGCACCCCTCCTTATACCTTTTTTTTTAACAAATTATATCTTTATATGTTGTATTCCATTACACAGGCATTTCCCTTTTAAATCATTGGGAAAAAAGGGGAGTCACAGCCAAAAATAAAAAGGAGTTAAAAATCCAAAAAGAAACAATTGTTTTTGATGTTTATATTTACCTGTGTATTTTCCTTTATTGGTGTTCTTCATGTTTGTGTGGATTTGAGTCAGTCTTCATTGCCCATTCATTTCAGGCTTAAAATATTCCTATTATTGTTTCTTGTAGGATAGATATGTTAATGACAAATATTCAGATTTTGTTTATAGGAATATCTTGATTTATTTTTGAAGGGCAGTTTTGCTACATATAGAATCTTTGGTTAACTTTTTAAAGTAGCTTGGGTATATCTTCCCAATGTCTGTTGCCTATGCTTTCTCATCCAAAATTGGCTATTGCTTTTACCAATAATTTGGTGTATGTGTTGAATCACCTCTCTTGCTGCTGTCAGGGATACTCTTTGACTTCGCAGAGTTTAATTATATTGTGTTTTAGGATGGATTCTGATTCTTTGAGTTTATCCTGTCTTGGGTTTGTTAAGCTTCTTGGTTGTGTACATTATGTCTTTCATCAAATTTGGGGAAATTCTTAGCCATTATTTCTTTAAAAATCCATTCTGTCCATTGTCTTCTTCACTTAAGGGACTCCTATTATGTGTATGTTGGTATCCTGTGAGTCTTTTAGGTGCTTGTCGTATTTTGTTTCTTTTCTTTACTTCTGTTTTTCAGACTGAGTAGTATAAATTGTCCTATCTTCTTAGTTACTGATTCTTTCTTCTTGCTCAAGTCTGTTGTTGCACCCCTCTTCTGAATTTTTCATTTCAGGTATTGTACTTTTCAACTCCATAATTTCTGTTTGGTTTTGTTTTATAATTTCTCTCTTTAAGATATTTTCTCTTTGATCAGAATTTGTTTTTATGGTTTCCTTTAGGTCCTTGATCATACTGAAAATAGTTAATTTAAATTCTTGGTGTAGTCACCAAACCCAAAATTTGGGCTTCCTCAAGGATAGTTTCTACTAATTATTTTTTTCCTGTAATGGACCATCAGTTCAGTTCAGTTGCTCAGTCGTGTCCAACTCTTCACAACCCCATGGATCATAGCACACCAGGCCTCCCTGTCCATCACCAACTCCTAGAGTCTACTCAAACTCATTTCCATTGAGTCAGTGATGCCATCCAACCATCTCCTCTGTCGTCCCCTTCTCCTGCCCTCAATCTTTCCCAGCATCAGGGTCTTTTCCAGTGAGTCAGTTCTTCACATCAGGTGGCCAAAGTATTGGAATTTCAGCTTTCACATCAGTCCTTTTAATGAATGCTCAGGACTAATCTCCTTTAGGATGGTCTGGTTGGATCTCCTTGCAGTCCAAGGGACTCTCAAGAGTCGTCTTCAACACCACAGTTCAAAAGCATCAATTCTTCGGCACTCAGCTTTTTTTATAGTCCAACTCTCACATCCATACATGACTACTGGAAAAACCATAGCCTTGACAAGACGGACCTTTCTTGGCAAAGTAATGTCTCTGCTTTTTAATATGCTATCTAGATACTTTCGTTTATTTGCCTGCCTTATAGTTTTTTGTTGTTGAAAACTAGACATTTAGAATGTTGTAACATAATTCTGGAATCACTTCTTTTCCCATCCCTAAAGTTTGTTGATCTTGTTTGTCCTAGTTGGTGTGATATCCATGTTATCTTTTTGAACTTGTTTTTGTAATGTCAGTATTGGTTGTACATGGCCACTGAAAACTGTTCTGTTAGCTTAAGGGTTGTTGTTATTTTAGCTTCTATGTCCAGCTCTTTGCAACACCATAGACTATAGCACACCAGGCTCCTCTGGCCATGGGATTTCCCAGGCAAGGAGAGTAGAGTGGGTTGCTATTCCCTTCTCCACGGGGTCTTTCTGACCTAGGGATCGAACCTCTGGCTCCTGTCTTCACAGGTAGATTCTTTACCACTGAGCCACCAGTGAAACTCCAGCTTCATGGTTAACTAATGATTTATCAGAGATTTCTTTAAACAGTTGGAACAAAAAAGTAAAAAGCTCCTAGTCTCTCTATACAGGGGCATACCTTCAAACTCAGGCAGTTTACAGCTTTGCCTCAGTTTTCACTTCCTCCTTGTGCCGAGCCTGAAGGCCTGTCAGTGGTGAGGCCTTAGGGCCCTCTCATGGCTTTCCTGAGCGTGTGCCCAAGCCTGGGTGTGCATGTGGCTGTCCAGAGTCAAAGGAGTATGAGGGAGTTTTATAAAAATTCCCCCAAACATTTTAGGTTATACTTTTACTCTGGGCTTCTTGGTTTGCCTTTTGCTTTCCTATGCTGTTTCCATTTGCCTCAGGCAGTTAGTGGCTAATATATTGCCTTTTTAATGCCTTCAGCACATGCCCACTGTGTAACCAGCTCAACCTCTGGAGAGTTTGGGGTTAGATAAATAAAGGCAAGCCCTTTGAGCCAGTCCTTCAGGGAGCCACCAGAAAGGTCGAAACAAGCCACCACAGTGTGTTGAGAATAGGGTCTATCCTGGGCCCCCTAGTACTAGGAGTTGTCTTTAATGTCACAGCCAAAGCATGGAACAGAGGATGAGTCAAGGGTCAGTTAAAAATGTCAGCTATTTTTTGTCCTTGATTAAGCATTTTCCTGGTTGCTGTAGACTTCTGGTAAGTTTTCAGGGTTCTGATAAAGTTGTTCTGATAGTTTTTCCAGTTTATTCACTGTTTCTGTAGAGGGAGGGACTTTTGAAGCTCCATATTCCATGATTTTCATTGTCGTTTTTTCTCACCAGACCTCAAGTTTGTCTCTGTTTCTGGGGTGTAGGAGTATGGTGATGAAGGAGACAGATATGGTCCCCATGCTCGTAGAGCTATTTAGTGCCTTCCCTATGAGCTGAATATTCCTTCCCCTGACTTTATATTTTCCATAGTTAAAAGCTTTATTATAGCTTTTGGATTGTGTATTTAAACTTGGGCATGGACTTTGGGACTGTGTGTGCCCTGTCACCCTGGATATTGAACGAGATTGCTTGTACTTTTGTTTCCTGAGAGTTACTATAGTCATTAGAATTTAGATATAATTATTCCATTGCTCCAAAAGCCACACTTCCCCATCTTCAGAATTCTTGGCTTCAGTTTCATAGAGTTGCTTGTCACGTGCACAGGCCCCCAATAGCACATGTCTTTTCTCCGTGAATAGGATATCATGTTGATAAACCCAGTCTGATCTCCCAGTTGGAGCAAGAAGACAAGGTGATGACAGAGGAAGAAGGAATTCTCCCAGGCACCTGTCCAGGTGAGCTCTAGGAGGATATGAGGAATTGTCTTTGAGGTGTAGCTCTAGCCAGTGATTCAGCGCATGGGAGTGTTACATTGGAGGTACCTAAAATGTGTTCTTTTCCGACAGAGATGGCCAAAGATGTTTGGTATGAGCTTCCTCATGCACCTTCTTTCTTTCCTCTTTAACCCTCTGTTCAATGTCTTCTACTTTAATTTGGACTCAGAGGGGGGAAAAATAATGTCCCTTTTCCTTTTTAAATAAGTCTCATATGAGCTCTTTTTCTGATTTCTTCCTGGAACTTTACCTTCCTGATAATTCCTCCTAGTGTAAATCTCTGATCAACCCTAATCCTTTTAGAGTCCTTTTTTAGTGCCTGTAATTTGTATACTCATATGCCTTTCCTTGCAAACCTCCTCAAAAACCCTAACCCCTCAGTTTGTCTTTACTCATATTTCTTTTCACCATTAACTTACTTATTTTCAATTTGTTTTAGATTTGGAAACGGTACTTAAAGCAAAATGGTTAACTCCAAAGAAGCATATTTTTAGAAAAGAACATTCTAATGGTGTTAGAGCGGTAAGACCAACGTGGTAATTTCTGGTTTTTCTCAGTAGGAAAATTTCATAAGTTAGAAAAGCAACAAAATAATCAGGGAAGTCATTATAGGTAGATGTCATTAACATATGAAATAATGGTGTTTCAGGAGAGATACTGTAAATCAGTTGTGAATTTAGAGAAAATTATAAATTAGCTCCAGACTTGTTTCTTTGCTGAGAATTCCCACAAGTAATTACTTCCTTAAATGTGACTGTAAAAATATAAAGTAGTCTTAAACTTATTAGAAAATGCTCTGTGAATATGATAAGGACTTGTGGCAATGCATCTGTCTGTGTTCTCTTAACTTTAAAAACTCAGACTGGGCAGGAGCCATTTAACAAGCATTTAAAATAGATAGCCACAACATCAATGATAATAATGTAACAGAGTTCCTGGGAGAGAAAATGTGTAAAACAGCCTTGAATATTTAAAAAATATTGTAAACTATAGTTTTCATTCATCTCTTGACAGGAGAGGAGTCATCTGGGAGTGAAACTCAATGAATGTAATCAGTGTTTTAAAGTCTTCAGCACAAAGTCTAACCTTACTCAGCACAAAAGGATTCATACTGGAGAGAAACCCTATGACTGTAGTCAGTGTGGAAAATCCTTCAGCAGTAGATCTTACCTTACTATTCATAAGAGAATACATAACGGGGAGAAACCCTATGAATGCAGTGACTGTGGGAAAGCCTTCAATGACCCTTCCTCTCTTAGACTGCATGTGAGAATTCACACTGGAGAAAAACCCTATGAATGTAACCAGTGTTTTCATGTTTTCCGCACTAGTTGTAACCTCAAAAGCCACAAGAGAATTCATACGAGGGAGAATCACCATGAATGTAATCAGTGTGGCAAGGCCTTCAGCACGAGGTCCTCCCTTACTGGGCACAATAGTATTCATACAGGAGAGAAGCCTTATGAATGCAATGACTGTGGGAAAACCTTTAGGAAGAGCTCGTATCTGACACAGCATATGAGAACTCATACTGGAGAAAAGCCCTATGAGTGTAGTCAGTGCGGAAAGTCCTTCAGCAGTAGCTTTTCTCTTACTGTTCACAAGAGGATTCACACTGGTGAGAAACCCTATGAATGCAGTAACTGCGGGAAGGCGTTTAATAATCTCTCAGCTGTTAAGAAGCATGTGAGAACTCACACTGGAGAAAAACCCTATGAATGTAATCATTGTGGAAAATCTTTCACTACTAATTCTTACCTTTCTGTGCACAAGAGAATACATAACAGGTGGATATGAATGCAGTAACTTATTTTTTATCTCTCAGACAACTTGTGACAACTCACACTAGATGTATGAGTCAGCTGCTGCTGCATAACAAATTTCCCCTTGAAACATAGTGGCTTTAAACAGCAAACATATATTATCTATAGATCAGGAATTCAGAACCAGCTTAGATGTGTAGTTCTGGTCAGGATCTCATGAGGCTGTAATCAAGATGTCAGCAGGAGTTGCCATCCTCCACTTTATTGCTAAAGAGTCCACTTCCAAAATGGCTCACTGGCACACCTGGCACGTTAGTAGCTGGTTGTTGGCAAGGAACCTTCATTTACTCACCATGTTGGATTCTCTACAGGGTTAAAAATCTTTATGATGTAGAAGCAGGGTCATCCCAAAGCAGTGGATTTAAAGAAGAGCTAATGCAGAAGCTACAGTGTCTTTTATAACCTCGTCCGGGAAGGACATATCATCACTTCTTCCATACTTTAAGGGTCACACAGATCACTCCTGATACATTGTGGGAAGAGACCATGCTCAATGTGAATACCAGGAAACAGAGATTGTTGGGAACCATCTGACAAATCACTGAAAGAGAGCCTTCAGGAGACCCTCATTCTTTCAGTCTGTTCAGTATGAAGTAATTCGGTAACTCCTGTGTAAATTCACTCATGAAAGAAACATCATAAGTCCAAGCTTCATGATAAACTTTCAGCTCAAACTCACCCTAATGTTCACAAAAGGTTATGTATTGGGAATAAATCTGAGGAATACAGTTGTGATATCTAGGGAGTCATGTGACAGTTCACACTAAAGGGAAAATCCAATGAATATCATCAGAATGTAAAAGCCTTTAGGGACACTTGTCCCTTAAAACATCCTTTAGAACATGTGTGAGGAATCACTACAGAGGAACACTCATGTAAGGAATGTGGAAAACCCTGTAGCACAAGCGTTTTTGTTAACAGAAGATGAAATTTCAAGTACCAAGTACTATGGGAAAGCCTTCAGGGTTCTCTCAGTTTTTAAGAGACATGAGGATTGATTCTGGAGAGAACAAACCATTGAATGGCATCAGTATTGGAAAGCCTTCCAGTTTCCCACATTCCTTAAACTTGTGAGTATAAAGAAGGAGGGAATGCCTTTAATGATACCTCTTACATTAGGAAAAGTATGGAATTCCTGGATGCAAAAACCTGTGAGTGGATTAATTTTGGAAAGTCTTTGGATGACTTCCGTCTTCGTTGAATTGTGAGAAGTCACCTGGGAGGGGCAGGAGGGGAGCCCGAGAAAGTACTCAACATGAGATTGCCTTAGCTCTTCTCTGAGTGGCTGTGGAATACTTTAAAATGGGAATGAAAAGTGTAAATGTTATGAGTGTGGGATTACCTTTCAGTGTCTCATCCTTAGGTTGGGGCAACTGGTTCTTTAATTTTCAGTCTTTTTGCTTAAGTAGCAACATTTGAGTCTGCAGCTGTGCCCTAAAATAAACCTTAAATTATGTTCTGTAGTTTTGTATGTAATACATTTATCATCATTGACTCTAAAACTATTAATACACTGCATATTCATAAAGGTATTTCTGACTATTTCCTGAGTGAGTTAGTTTATCCTAGTAAAAGCTAGGATAATTGCTAAACACCTTTCAGCAATTGCTAAATAGCTAAATTGCTATATACTTTTTTCTAATTTAATGGCATTTTTATTAAATGGATTTTATGATACTGATTCTTTTTTATCTTTCTATTCTAGTATGGCAGTTATTTTTAGCCTCTTTATCAATGTCCATTTTCCCCTCTGTTTTCTTAAAAGAAGAAGATTTTTTTCTTTAAACTTTTTTTCAAGTTGTTGATGAGTAGTATTGAAAATAGTCAATCCACAGGGCATCCCCAAAGCCCAGGGAGGTGTTCTTCTGCTCTGCTGGCCATGAGAAGTGGGTGGAAGTCATGGAGGGAAGTGAGGGGACAATCATCGTCTGGCTTGTCTGCCTCACCCATATCCTGTTCATCTTACCCATTCATTCTTGCGAAGGTGGAGTTAAGCTGTACAGTTGGAAGAACTATATTTTGATCATGATGACAGTGACCACAGTGTGGCAAAAATCACAATGAGTGGGCTCTCTAAGAGGCTCTGATTGGCTCTATCACCTACAGGCTGCTTATTCCTAGACTTCTTACATGATTTAGAAGTACCTTAGTGGTTGAAACTCAAGTGATTTTTTGTTTGTTTTTGAGGTGATTTGTTAATGTCCTGCTGAATAATATTAGTTGGTCATTTTATAAATGCTCCAAGATTATTTGAAAACTCTGTGTGTGTGTGTGTGCGTGTGCTCAGTTGTGTCCGACTCTTTTTGTGACCCCATGGACTGTAGACCTCCAGGCTCCTATGTCCCTAGGATTTCCCAGGTAAGAATACTGGAGTGGGTTGCTCTTCCCTTCTCTAAGGGATCTTCCCGACACAGGTATCAAAGTGGAGTCTTCTGTGTCTCCTGCCTTGCCGAGTGGATTCTTCATCAGTGAGCCACCTGTGTATTCTCTAATTTTCAGATATAGAGTGTATTCTCATTAACTCAAGCTAAACGTGTTTTCAGATATATTAATAGTATGTACCTGCAGGTTTTCCCCCTCTCTCAAACATAATTACCAATAGATGTGAATTACAGTTTTCTACCATGGTTGTGGATTAACAAATTCTTTTTGGTAATTCTGTCATTTCTTTCTTTATGTATTTTAATGTAATGTAAATAAAGTACATCCATTTCTGAGGTGGTTGATCAGAAACTGAAGGGGAACTGAAGAGCCTTTTGATGAGGGTGAAAGAGATGAGTGAAAAAGCCAGTTTAAAACTCAGCATTAAAAAAACTAAGATCATGACCTCCAATTTCATCACTTCATGGCAAATAGAGGGGAAAAAGTGGAAACAGTGGCAGATCTTACTGGGCTCCAAAGCCACTGTGGATGGTGACTGCAGCCATGAAATTAAAAGATGCTTGCCTCTTGGAAGAAAAGCTATGACAAACATAGCATATTAAAAAGAGACGTGGCTCTGAAAAAAAAGATCCATATAGTCAAAGCTATGGTTTTTCCAGTAGCCATGTAAGGATGTGAGAGTTGGACCAGAAAGAAGACTGAGTGCCAAAGAATTGATGCTTTTGAATTATGGTGCTGGAGAAGTCTCTTGAGAGTCCCTTGGACAGCAAGGAGATCCAACCAGTCAATCCTAAAGGAAGCCAACCCTGAATATTCATTAGAAGGATTGACACTGAAGCTCCCATACTTTGGTCACCCGATGCAAAGAGCAGACTCACTGGAGAAGACCCTGATGCTAGGGGAAAATTGAAGGCAAAAAGAGAAGGGAGGTGCAGAGGATGAAATGGATGGCATCATAGACTCAGTGGACCCCTGAATTTGAACAAACTCCAGAAGATGGTGAAAGACAGTGAAGCCTGGTGTGCTGCAGTCCCTGGGGTCCCAAAGAGTCAGACATAGCAACTGAACAGCAGAAAAAGAAAAACTAAAGTATTGAGAGGAAATAAAATTCCTGATTAAATAGAGAATACCATCTTTATCCATGATTAAAACATTTTAATGAGCTCATTTTCTTTAAGACAAATATGTCTTAAAGTATGATATAGAAACATAATTTTTAGAAATTAGAGATGCTGATTCTCAAATTCACAAGGAAAGGAATTTATTCAAAGAGAAATAACTTTTATTGGGGGATAAAATGAGAGAGGATGTGGGGAAAAGTAACATACCAAAATATTTCTCTGAAGTTCGTTATTGGAGGAAAAAACTGAACAAACTGAATATTAATGTAGAGACTCCAGAAAAAGCCCATGTTTATTTGGAAACTCAGGAGTTAAGTTTCTACTTTAAGTAAATTGCAAAATTATGATTTGAATGAAGAAAATATACTACCAGTAATTTTAAAAATTTTAATTTTTTAATTGAAGGATAATTGCTTTACAGAATTTTGTTGTTTTCTGTCAAACATCAACATGAATCCGCCATAGCTACCAGTATTTTTCATTGGCTACTTTCTGCATTCAGAAAAAAATATTATTTTCAATAAAAATCTCTGAAGGAATTGCATTAATGTGTGAAAAGCATGTATACCTTCAGTATTTTCTCCTAATAGGAATCTTTCCTCTTGTCAGACATGATAAAGGGTGGTCTGAAATGTTTTTACAGATAAAATGAACTTTCTGGATACAGGAGTGGAGGAAACAAGAAGGATGTACTTATTGTATACTTAATGATGGAGGACCCAGCTAGATTCAGTAGCAGGAGCTTTGAGGAGCCATTAATCTGAGATAGAACATTTATCCATAACTCTAAATGACAGACTTTTAAAAAGAGAAAAAAGATCCTCTGCGAAATAGAAGTAAAGCAATTCTGATGTTATTATTGAAATGAATAAGAAATATCTATCTGGTATACTGTTCAAAAGCCAAGTGTAATAGCAACTTATTATGAGATAAACCTGAATGCAGATTTCTCTTAGAATCTATTTGATACTTTAAACCTTTCAGCGAGTTCTCAAGTCTTAGGAGGGTAATATAGCACTTTGGGGCAAAGATACAGCCTAGGAGCCCAGCACTGGAGGCCAAGATGGAGACGATCTCCACGGCCACCATGACCTTGCCCTTGGTGCTGTGGCAGATGGGGAGGAAGGTGACCCGGACACTGAGGAGCACCAGCATGCTGAAGGTCAGGAACTTGGCTTCGCTGAAGGTGTCAGGCAGGTTCCTAGCCAGGAAAGCCAAGGAGAAGGTCCCCAGGGCTAAGGAGCCCGGGTGGCACAGGACACAGTAGAAGGCAGTGACCGAGCCCTTGTTCCACATGATGAGGAGCTCCTTGGCTCAGAGTGTGTCCATCTCAAGGAAAGGGGGAGAGGTTCCCAGCCAGACTCCACAGATAATCACCTGGATCATGGAGCGCATGGGAAAGACATAGCAGCTCCTGTTACCAGCAGTCACCTCATGGTTCCTCCTGGCTTCCCGGCCTTGAATGCCAGGATCACAGCCAGGGTTTTGGCTAAAACAGTGAACACAGCTCCAAATGTGATCTGTCAGAGGACACAGGTGGCTGTGTGGGGATGATTGATGAAGAGTAAGGAGCAGAGGACGCACAGGAGGAGGGAGATGAGCAGGACATGGCTGAGAGCCCGGTTATTGGCCTTGACTAGGGGGGTGTCTCGGTGCTTCACAAAGACCCACAAAACCGCAGCCGTGAGGACACAGAAGCAAAGAGCTGTGCAGGCCAGTGACATCCCCAGAGACTCCTTTAAGGCCACAAAGGTCAGGACTCTGGGGAGGCAGCGATTTCTCTTCCTGATTGGGTACTTCTGGTCTGGACACTGGACACAATGCTGTGCACCTGGGGAGAAAGATGTGGCATTTCATTTTCACGATTCATTTTTATCAATTTGAATATTGTCACCATTTCTGTGATGTGTGTATTCATCCCCTCTGATGTTACCTTCAATCAAACCAAGTTAGGACTCTATACCAAGGGAAAATGCTTTCAGGAAAAAAATCATTTATTAATGAATCTTCTAACATGGTGGAAATGGGTGTGCTCATTTGTGGTTCAGTTAACAAAGGCACTGATTCTTCCTAACTCTTTTCTCTACTCTCCCCAGTACATGAGTAAAGTCATAAATTTAGAAATGGTAAGTTTGGCGTCTTTGATGTATCAAGGTAAGTGTCAAGAAAGTGAAGGCACAGTGGAATGAAAGGGAGAAAATATTTGTACATCTACATTTGATAGGGGATTAATATCTGGAATCAATCCAGTACTCCTACAAACCCACACAACAAAAATACAACTCAATTAAACTATGAACAAAGGACGTGTGTGGACATGTCTCCAAAGAAGATATACAAACGGGTATTAAATACATGAAATTATGCTCAAAACTGATATGTGTTACAAAATGCAAACTAAATCATGAGAGAACCACTTTAAACCCCTAGGATGGCTATTCTTTTACAAAATAATAGTTAAAATGACAAATGTCACTAAGGATGTTAAATAATTGGAATCTTTGTACATTACTGGAAGGAGTATAAAATGGTATAGCTGAAGTGAAAAGCAGCATGTCAGTTTCTCAAAAAATTACACATAACATTACCATAAGAATAAGATATTGATATATACCCAAAAGATACGAAGGCAGTGCCTTAAGTAGATATTTGTACACTATTCTTAGCAGTGTTATGATGACCTAAAGGAGGGAAGCAGCCCAAGTGTCCACTGAAGGACAAATGAAACAATAAAAGGTGGTATCTATATGCAATGAAGCACTATCCAATATTTAAAAATGGTGAAATTGTCTAACACATGCTGCAAAGTGGATGAATCTTGATGTCATGGGAAGTGAAATAAGTCAGACCCCAGAGGACAAGCACTGTGTGGTTCTACTCACACGAGGTGCTGAGGAATAAACAAGTTCATAGACAAAGGAAGTGGAAGAATGCTCACAAGGGACTTCCAGGAAGCAGTAAAAGGGAGCTACTTTTTAATGTCTGTAGAGTTTAATAATATAAATTTCTGTACATGGATAGTGGAAATGACTGCACAACCATTGAAATGTACTTAATAGCACTGACTTCTACACATAAGACTGATTAAAATGGTAAAATTTATATATATTTACCACAATAAAATGTGCAGATCCAATAATGAATAAATGCATGAATTGAGAAACTGGTGCACAATGACTTTGCCTATGCCCTTGGTCTCCTTTTTAAGGGGAAAGGGGAAAATGACAAAGTTATCATTGGGTGATTAAATTTTTATACCTGAGTGGTTGGAAATGTGTCTCTCAGACAAAAAGCACAAGTAAAGCAGCACATTGGCCTTCCTTGTAGAATTTTTTCTGAATCCTGAGCTGTAGCTCTGGCTACACACACACTGGAATATTATTCTTTCATAATAAAGAATGAAATCTTACCATTTGTGGCAACATGGGGACCTAGGAGGTATTATGCTAAATGTCATAACTCAGACAGAAAAAGACAACAACTGCATGATTTCACATGTATGTTTAACAAACGAATAAATGACCATCAAAACCAAAAAAAAATCAGACTCACAGGAAACAAAAAGGTGGTAGCCAGAGGGGAAGAAGCTGGGGGGAAAACAAACAGGTGGGGAACTTCCAGTTGCAAAATAAATGTCATGGGTATGTGATGTACAGTCTGAGGAATATAGTCAACAGCTCTGTAATATCTTTGTATGGTGATATATCCAAACTATAGTGGTGACCATTTTCAAATGTATAGAAAGAATCATGGTGTTATGTAACAAGAACTAAAAAAGGGAAAGTAGCATAGTATGATAAGCCAAATATTCAAAAACAAACTCATAAGAGAGTTCAGATTTGTGGTTACCAGCAGTAGGTTGAGGGGTGCAATTGGATGAAAACTGTTAAAAGATACGAAGTTTCAGTTATAAGAAAACTAAGTCCTAGGGATGTACTGTACAACACAACAATAACTTAACACTGTTATACATGAAAGTTGTTAAAAGAGGAAATCCTAAATGTTTTCATCACAAGGAAAAAAATTCTTTGATTATGTATCCACATGAGATGGTGGATATTCACTAACCTTATGGAGGTAACTATTTCATGATGTATATAACTCAAGTCATTATGCTGTACCCCTTAAATACGGTGCTGTGCGCCATTTCTGTCTTAATAAAACTGGAAGAAGAAATAGTGATCCGCTCCTGCTAGACACTGGCTCAGAACACCTGTAGGCTACATAGTATGAAATCAAGATTCTGCAATCAAAGGATGAGTTTAGTGCTGACTTAATGGGTACACACACAATCTCATAGGAGGACTCTCTGATAGTTCTACAATGTGTACATCTCATCTTGAAAAGATCTCATACCTCTTTAAATCCAATAGGCCATTCTATCATCTCTTCCTCGATCACCAAGCCTTGATCATATAGACTATTGGAGCCAATCTCTCCCACTTTAATCAGGAACCCAAGACCACCTGGAAAACTCACAGCATTCAGGATATCATACTGTACCACATGACTTCTTTTCTCATCCAAGGACATGTGCTCCCCAGCACTGTTTCTAAATTGAATTTTATACAGGAATGGGTGAAGCTAGAGGAGAAGAAAGATTGGGAAATGGCAAGAGATGGAAGGGCTATACTTACAAAGCAAGCACTTCCCCACCTCCCGAAACTCAAGCTTTCTTGTTGGTAGAAGCTGAGTTTTGTTTGGGTGTTTACTATCTCTTCGACTCTAGTGATGTGCTTTTCCTCTCATCCTGAAAACAAGGAGAGAAGGAATTGAATACAGTCTAGACATTGTTCAAAGCCTTTCCTTTGTTATAAGTTTTGGTAAACCTGACCCACAAAGTTTGCTTGTGGCTTCTGGAAGGAAATACCTGTATTCTCAAAAAGGTACAACATGGAATTTTTTTCTCATCCTGCAGTTGGATTTTTTTTTTATCAAGAATATGACTGTCTGACTGGATTCCATGGTGGCTCAGACGGTAAAGAATCTGTATACAATACAGGAGACCAGGGTTCGATCCCTGGGTAGGGAAGATCCCCTGGAGAAGGGAATGGCAACCCACTTCAGTATTCTTGCCTGGAGAATCCTATGGACAGAAGAGCCTGGTGGGCTATAGTCCATGGGGTTGCAAAGAGTGGGATATGACTGAGCGACTAACACACACAACACATGGGACCTGGCTAGACAAGAGGCTGAATTCTAAACTAATTGGGCAGGTTGCTATTCAAAATGCAGTCCAGTTCTGAAAGTAGTGTTTGTTATCTTTGATGCTTTTGAACTGTGGTGTTGGAGAAGACTTTGAGAGTTCCTTGGACTGCAAGGAGATTAAACCACTCAATCCTAAAGGAAATCAGTCCTGAATATTCATTGGAAGGACTGATGCTGAAGCTGAAACTCCAATACTTTGGCCACCTGGTGTGAAGAACTGACTCATTGGAAAAGACCCTGACGCTGGGAAAGATTGAAGGCAGGAGGAGAAGGGGATGACAGAGGATGAGATGGTTGCATGGCATCACCGACCTGATGGACATGAGTTTCAACAAGCTCCAGGAAATAGTGAAGGACAGGGAAGCCTAGTGTGCTGCAGTCCATGGGGTTGCAGAGTCAGACACGACTGAGTGACTGAACTGACTGAACTGATGACTGTCTGATGACAATAAGGTGAAACATGCTCACTATGGGAGAAAATTAAAATCTACAATTCACAGAGCATTAATGGAATTGTTGATTTAGGCTTTGAACCACCGGAGCCTTTGTCACTTTGTTGTGGGAAATAGTGAACGCTTTAATTTTTGAGATACAATTCACATAACATAGGACTCACCATTTCAAAGGGGACAATTCAGTGGGTTTTAGGACATACGGAATGTTGTGCAATCACCAGCACTCTCTAATGCCAGAATATTTTCATCATCGCAAAAAACTCGTGGAAGTTAAACAGTCACTCCCCATTTCTCCCTAAACACAATCCCTGCCAGTCATTAATCTACATTCTGTCTATAGATCTGCCTGTTCCTGACATTTTTTATGGAAGAAATTGTATACTATTTCCCCTTTTGTGTCTGGTTTCTTTCACTTAGCATAATGTTTTTAAAGCTTGTATGTATACCAATAATTCTTTTCTTTTAATGACTGAATCTTGCTTCATTGCTTATCCAGTTATCCTTTGGAGAACTAAAATGTATCCAAATTGTAAGGGAAGAGGTAAAACTGTCTATTTGGAGATGACATGATACACTATGCAGAGCCATAAATCCTCCACACAAAAATCTTTAGAACTAATAAATGAATTCAGC